ATCCAGCCTGAGACACATAACACTTACTAGCTGTGTGACCCTGGGAAAGTCACTTAACCCCAAATGCCCCCCCAAAAAAGAATGAAAGATAAAAGATGAATAGCTAGCATGATGCATTGCTACCCTTGACACACTGAAAGAAAAGAGAAGGCCTCTAGAACACTGGACAGACTGCTATGAAGGATTTATGGGAAAACATGGACAAGAGGTTCATAGGATAAGTCATGGAAGGGTTGTGATCTATACTGGTGGAGGGAATAAAATCACAGAATCATCAAAATAATTAGAAATATCCTATGTAAAGAAAACAGTTTGGAAGTTTGTGAGTTAAACACTGGCTGGTTTAGCAAAGCCTCAAGTAGGAAGATGGTGGGAATTCTGCAGGATTTACTTTTTGGAATAAATAATTGTGACTTCTGTATTGATTGAGGACAGATAGGCTGGGTTTAATCTTAGAAACATTAATACCATCTCCACGTTTTACCAGATAAATCTGGCAATATCTAGATCTGGCTCATTTCTAGGGTATTCATGCCAATTCACCTCTAAGCAACCAAGGATTCTACTCAACATTTAAACATACAATATTTATGTATGTAACCTAGGAGAATTTGCTTTGTCCTTTTATCTCATTGAATTACGACTTTCCTTTGGGTCCAAGGAAATGATTTAAAGAGAGAGAGCATGAGAGCACATTTTTGATACCCTGGTATGTGAAAAGGATTTTCCATCTTCCCATGTGGAATTAGAATGATTTTTTTTTTGCGAGACAGGAGGTATCGCAACAGAAAAATAAGGGCATTCTATTTATCCTCTCCCCTTTCCTCTCTTCTTCTGAGATGACAGTGCTGGTACGAGTGGCTAGCATAAGCAGGATTTTGGAGCAGGGCTGAAATGGGCATTGAGATTCAGAGTCATGATCAGCATCGCCCAGAAACAACTGAGGTGATCCAGTAGTGAATTCAGGGAAACATCATCTTATCTGCTTTGCTTTTAAACCATGAGATGGGTGGAGTGGACATTCTCCCATTTCCTATTACTTCTCATGAATTCTGAGTGAATTTGATTAAGAGCTTTCTCATTTACATTGAAGATCTGGGAAGATGCAGCAATAGGGAAGAGATTTTTCTATATTTATTTTACATTTTATTATTAAAAACTATTTGATGACAATGTACTAATCTTTGAGTGTCATTGGAAGTGCCCTGAGAAAGTGGGTTACCCCTAAGGATTGGGGATCTGAGTAATTTCATATTTAAGTATTTCATCAGTATTTTTTTTTTACCTTAGTTAAATTGGAACCTGGCTAGCAAGGGCTGCCCCCAAGCTGAACCTGAGGAAACAGTGTTTTAAAAGTTGGGGGCAGGGATCAACTTGTTCAGAGTCCCAGCACTCAAAAGTCAGGGCACAGTGCATGTCCACAGTAAGGGCACATGTGTGGCCAGACTAAAAGAGCTCGTGTAGCCTGCCACCTGGTGGCTAACTCAGACATTACATGTAAAGCTCATTTAAACTCATCTGTCTGCATGGATATAGGAAATAGCATTGAGCCAAAATGCTGCATTCAGAACAGTAATGACCACAGAAGGGGCCAGTATCCTCCTAAGTTAAAGCAATAGGGAAAAAGTGATTGTACACCTTCCTGTAGCATGTATTTATAGCACCAGAATAATTCCCTACCCATCTCTTTTCCAGAATGATTCTGACTCAGTCAATACAAAAGACACATGATACCAATTGGGAAAGACTGAGCAAGCTGCCTGAAAGCCTGTGGATGTTGCTACTTTGGTCTGATGGCAAGCATAGGTCTGTGTTCGCCTATCCAGCTTATTCTCTGCAGCTCCAACTTATCTCAGCGGTTTCTGTTTTCCTGATACCATGACTGCTGTTATTCAAACTTGGTTCTTATAGATTCTAGTTCCACTCGCCGCAGATGTGGTACTGACTGCTTCTGTCATTCTCTTAGAAATCCTTTATCTTCCTCCCTTCTGGTTCTTTTTTATTCCTACTTACTCACTGTGGCCTGACACTTCAAGACAGGTATTATTGTTAATCAACAGCATTCTAGAAACTGTAGTCTTTTTCATTAATTATTTCCATGTGTTATTACCATGTCCAATGCATAATATTAATAACAATGACATAATACTGGGGGCTCTGGCTAGGTATTCTTGAGTCCATGGCAGAACTGGATTTTTTTCAAACAAAACAAATTGTTTGGGTATCTTCCATACATTTATCATGGGGTAACTAGGTGGCACAGTATAAAAACAGCTTGGCCTGGAGTCAGGAAGATGTTAGTTGAAATCCAGCCTCAGATACTATGTGATCCTTAGATAGCTATGTGATCCTTGACCCATCATTTAACCTCTTTTTGACTCACTTTCCTCATTTGTAAAATAAGGATAATATTAGTATCTACTTCTAAGGGTTGTTGTGAAGATAAGACGAGATAATAATTGCAAAGTACTTAGTACAGAGTCTGGCACACAGTATGCATCATATAAATGTTAGGTCTTATTATCATGTGTTATATTGTGATGTAATGCAAAGAATAGTTAGGAGAACTGGGTTTGGGTGCCAGCTATGACACTTACTAGTTAGGCTATGCATACTTAACCTCTCTGGGTCTCAGTTTCTTCATCTGCACAACAGGAATAACAAAATTCTCACTGTAGAGGTGTAAGGAAGGCACCTTGAAAGGATTATTCCAAAGGAAAATCACTCACTGATCCAACCAATCACTCATGTACAGGGTGTCCCTAAAGTTTTTCAGCAATTTTAAGCCTCGATAGCCTAAAGACTTTTGAAACAGCCCATATATTTAGTTCTTGTTTCTCTAAATAAGGGCTAAGGTAAAGGAAAATATTTTTACTTCTTTTATATATGTAGGATACTGCTGGACACAAAGACTTCTAGGATGGTAGACAGACTCATGAGTTGGAAAGGACCTTATAGATCATCTAGGCCAACTTCTTCATTTTACAGGGAAAGAAAATGAAGCCTTATATGCCTTTATTTTTCATTTGTGTATTTATAATAGTCAAAATAATTTATTCACTCAAAGTTGTTCTTTTTCATTTTCATCCTCACTGAAGTAGCATGGTGTTGTGGAGTTTAGAAAGTAAAAAACTGACCTTGAAGTTATGTGACCTGAATTTGAATCCCAGCTCTGCCACCTATTACATATGGGACATTGGGCAAGTTACTTAACCTCTATAGGCCTTGGTTTCTTCACTTGTAAAAAGGAGAAGGTTGGATTAGATGTATTTCCAGATTCATGATCCTTCGAGCCTTCTCGCATGACAAAGACTGAAAAAAGAAAAATTCTGCAAAACCAATGAATATATCCACTATGTCTGACAGGAAATGCAATATTCTACCCCCTTCTCTAGACTACATAATGAAGGGAAAAGTTGCGTTTTCTCAACTCTAGGGCCAAGTTTTAGTCATTACAATTACATAGCATTTAGTTTCCTTTTATTATTTTGTTCATTGTTTTTTTCTTCTTTTGTTGTTCTTACTCATTCTGCATCAGTTAATATAAATCATTGACTCATCTTTTCCCTTGTGAGGTAACACTCATGAAATTTTGGTCAATTTTGAAACTTTATTTAATCTCTTCATAATCTGTTTTTTTGTTTTGGTGAGGCAATTGGGGTTAAGTGACTTGCCCAGGGTCACACAGCTAGTGAGTGTCAAGTATCTGAGGCCAGATTTTGAACTAATGTCCTCCTGACTCCAAGGCTGGAGCTCTACCCCCTGCACTACCACCTAGCTGCCCCAATCTTCTCATAATCTGGATAGGCAGCTAGGTAGCAGTGCTGGGCCTGGAGTCAGGATGACTCATTTTTGTGAGTTCAAATCTGGCATCAGACACTGCGCAACTTTTTCAACTCAACAACAACATAGTCTGGAGTTATATGAATTACCACTTTGTGAATTTTAACCTTTCAAGCCATAAAAGGCTATATGCAAATGAGCTGAGGGACCACAAAGTCCCCAAGCCTCAGTCTTTCTTAGAAAGTCTTCTTTAGTTCCAATTATCAGCTCCTTACCAGATCGTACTAATGATCTTTTCTCTCCTCACCCATTAAGGGGAAAACAATGTTTCTTTAAAACACTCGGATTTTTATGTTTTTCTGCGCAGAAAAATTCTTCCCCCCTCCCCTTTGCCCAATTCACACTCTAACGGGGCAATATTTTACACCTTTCATAAGGTGATTTAATCTTTTTCTGCACACTACAGTCCCCTTCAACTTCAGACTGCTCACGTATGAAAGGTGATATCTACTGATGTCTTCTTGAAGGGATGTAAAGATGCTTCTGCTTGGTTGGCTTCCAAGCGCAGAAATGGGCAAAATACGTGGAAGGCAAAAAGAGGCAGACTGAGACAAGAAGGAAAATGGACTCCCTCAGGACCTAGAGTTCTTTCTCACTAGAGGCTTCTGAGCAACGGCTGGAGCACCGCAGTCGGCGTTGCACAACGTGGTTCCCTGAATCCTTCCAACCCGAGCTTCTGTGATTTCTTCTCTCGGACACCTAGCTCCTCTCCTTCCACCGGCGTTCCCCGAGAGTTTTCCTTTCAGCTCTCCCGCCCAACCTCGAACGCTTTCTTGCTCCTGATGTCATCTGCAGAATACTCGCGGAAGCCTCCAGGTTGCTCAGAGCGCTGGTCCTAAAGGCGGCACTCGGTGGCTTGGGTCCTTTTAGGTGGCTCTGGCCCTCGGGGGTGGCGCTGGACCTTTAAAGCGGCTCTGGTTCTTCAAGGTGGCCCTAGCCTTCTGAGGAGGCGCTGGCCATTTAAGGCTGCTCGGGTCCTTAAAGGCGGCGCTGTTCTTTTAAGGTGGCGCCGGCCTCGGTGTCCCTTTTGTCTCTCGGTCTCCTCCCGTCTGCCCCAGCTCCTCCTTAAGCCGCCGGAACTGACCCGTTCCTGAAGCCGGTGCAGCCGCCTCTCAACCCGGAAGGAGCGAGCGAGCGATTGAGCTAGATCGGGCGCATGCCCCTTGCAGGGCTGCCCCCGGGGGTGTTCCCGCGCCCGCCTCCGCTCCTCCATTGGCCGCCGCTGCCGCCGCACCTTGCTGAAGGTAGAGCGGGACGCGCCGAATCGCCCGTCCTAACCCGGGGGTGACGCGGCGGCCCCGGCTCGTGCCTCGCTTTCGGAAGCCGGGCGCCCTAATCTCCCGCCTCCCTCGCCTCGTCTGAGGGCGGGCCCGGCTCCCCGCCCGGCCTGGGGGAGCCCGGGCCCCCTCGCCCCCGCACGTGACCGCATCACTGCCTCCCGGCGCCCGAGGCCACCATGGGGAATGAACAGAGCGCCGAAGCCGAGAGCAGACCCCACGACCTGAGCGCCTCAGGTCGGTGTCCTCGCGCTTGTCACCGCTCTCACCTCCCCCCTCCCATCTCCCGGGGTGGAGGCGGAAGGGGTTGCTAGGTAACCCTGCAGCGCATCCATCCATCAGCCCTAGTGAGGTTTCAGGGGGTCCCACGGACCTGTCTGGTGGAATCGAGCGCGCGTGGCAGGCGGGTGAATGTGTCGTAGGAGGAGCATTTGGAATGGACGGATCATCCGGCCCAGCCCTTTCTTTTTTCCAGAAGACGCGGTGCAGAGAGAGGGCTAGGGACTTGCTTTCTCGGAAAGAAAGTGGCGGAGCTGGAATTTGAACGCAGGCCCTTGGACTTCACATCCCGTGCTTTTCCCCCCACACCACAGATTCCTGTGCTATGGGTCATGGCTAAACTTTTTTTTTTTTTGACATGGCTTGATTTCTTTTTCATGGCCAGATGAATTTGTAGCTGTGGCCGACAGCTATCAATCACAGGAGGTTCTTAACCTTTTTTGTATCATGACCACCTTTCGCAATCTGGTGAAGCCTGTAGGTCCCTTCTCAGAATCCTATTTTTTTCCCCTTAAATTCATAATTGAAAGAAATGGTAAATTTCAGTGGTTAGTGAAAATAATATTTTTTTTGTCCAAGTTAAAGGACCTCTTGAAATCCATCCCTAAAACCAGGTTAAGAACCCCTTTTCTAGATGTGTGCAAGTATTTGTTAGACGAGGTAGCCTTTGAAGACCCTTCCTACCCAGAGATTCTGTGAATTTATAGATAAGACCACCGAAAACATTCAACCAGTTAAGAAGAGCATTAGAAGTTCCAGGGATTATTTGACGAGTGTCAACCTATTACCTTTTTTTCTGCACTGAAATGTAGTATGTCCCTGACAACCAAATTTCCTCAGGTTCCTATGGTAATAACAATGTTTTACATTGATAGAAGGCCTTTTTGTGGGAGTCCAGACGTTGATTGATGCAGTGAGGAAACACTCTTTACCAATGTAGTTGGTAACATCTAAGTTTGCAACTTAGATTCTAAGTCTTAGAGAGTTGTCTGGGTTTCTGAGAAGGTGACTAGCTGAGGTAACAAGCCAGTATTTGCCAGAAGTGGGACTTGAACCAAGGGCTTTTTCTTAGGAAGACTACCTGTCTATCCAGTACACCAGAAGTATCAAACACCCAGCCCATGACATGGCCAGAACTAGATTAAAATGTAATTGGGAAATATTTAACAAATAAGCAAAAGTACATTAAAGAACATATTATATTTTAAAACTAAGCCAATGTACAACCTGCAGGGATCCAAATGGGAGATTTAGTGGCCCTTGTTTTTATTTGAGTTTGACATCACTGTTCTGTACCACAGTGCTTCTCAGAGTATTTTTTGCTCATAAAAACTCTGAAGTAAGTAGCACAATGTTATTCCATTTTTTAATTGAGGCTCATTGAGATTAAGTAAGTAGGGTCACCTAGCCCAGACTGGCTGTGTCAGAGACGGGACTTAAATGCAAGTCTTTATGACTGTGGGGCCATCTCTATACACTTGGCCATGCTGCTGTGTTAAATTCGAAATGTATTCACAAGAAATGCAAAGTAACTTGGGAATAGAGAGGCACACTAGAGATGGGAGATGGGGTGTCATGTATGGAGACTCTTAATTCTAGTGCCTTCCCTGTGGCGACTGCTTCCTCTTTCTCCTGTACAGAGCTTGTTTGTACATAGTTGGGGGTGGCTAGTGGCAGAGTGAATGGAATGCTAGGCCTGGAGTCTGGAAAATCTGGCACATACTAGCTCTGTGGCCCTGGGCAAGTCACTTAACCTCTGTTTGCCTGAGTTTTCTCCTCTGTAAAATGGGGATAATAGCAGCTGCCTCACTAGGGCTGTTGTGAAGAACAAACGAGGGCATACTGTAAAGAGCTTTGCACCACACCTGTCACATGCTGAGCCCTACATGAATGCCAGCTATAGCTATTATTATTATCACTACTATTATTCATTGTTAATATGCTGTCCCTCCATTAGACTGTGACCTCCTTGTCTTTCTTTGTATCTCTAGTGCTTTGTAGAATGCCTCCAAAATAGTGGACTTTAGTAAATATTTATTGACTAATGGGTTGGAGCCACCACGATTTTGAAAGACTTGAAAGAGCTCATATTTTATCTCAAGCTTCCTTTTTTTTGGGGGGGGGTTAGGCAATGGGGCTAAGTGACTTGGCCAGGGTCACACAGCTAGTAAGTGTCAGATGTCTGAGGTCAGATTTGAACTCAGGTCCTCCTGACTCCCTGCTCCCTTGTATTTTGTACTAGAGACGATAGGGAGCTCCTGAAACATTTTGAGCGAGGAAATGATACAGTCAGACCTGTGTTTTAGAAACATAAGTTTGGGGGCCACTAGGTGGCGCAGTGGATAGAGCACAGGGCCTGGAGTCAGGAGAACCTGAGTTCAAATGCGGCCTCAGACAATGGACACTAGCTGTGTGACCCTGGGCAAGTCACTTAACCCCATTGCCTAGCCAAAAAGCAAAAGAAAAACAAAACAAAACCCAAAAACATAAGTTTGGCAGCTGTGTGGAGGATGTGTAGAGACTGTAGAACTTTGAGGCAAGAAGGCCAGTTAAGAGGTGTTGAATTAGCCCAGGTGAGAGGTAATGATTATTGGAAATGAGTTGATTGTGGTGATGAGTGGAGAGAAAGGGAAGATGAATGAAAAAGCATTTATTAGGTGCTATGTGCCAAGCCCAGTGCTAAATATTGGGGATACAAGTAGAAAAAGCCAGACAGTTCCCTGCTCTCAGGGTGTTCATTCTTGAATTAGGGGAGACGGAATAAAACAGTTTGGCTTTAGGGCTACTGGAAAGGCCTGAAGTTCTTAGGGATGTGAGAGGTGTGCAGATGATGCTGACAGCTTAGCAACTGGTAGGATTTGGTGTGTGTGGGGGTTCATTATTAAGTTTCCTTTTATGTCTGTCTTTTTTTTCCCTGAACTAATAACTTTTTCTAGCATTATGATCTATAAAGTGTATTTACTATTTCTGCCTTCTTATGTTTATAGGCAGTATCTTTTGTAAAAGTTCCATGTGAAATATGATTATTTTTGGTGGGCTTCCTTAAAAGATGTCATCACATTAGTTTTTTAGCTCTTAATTTCTTCTGCAATTTTTCAGTTCTATATTTTCCCTTGTTTTTCTTTGTTAGATTTGCCTACCTCTTAAGAGATTAATGTCTCCTGCCATTATCATATTACTATTTATGTTTTCTTGCAATTAGTTAATTTTCCCTTATGAATTTATAGGTCATGGTATTTGGAGCGTATCAGCTTAATATTGAATATTGGTTTGTTATCTGTGGATCTTTTCAGCATAATGTAATTTTCTTCTTTATTGTTGTTTAAATTGTGAGTTTTCAGTTTAGTTTTGTCTAATAGTATGATTACAACTTCTGACTTTTTGGGTTCAGTTGATGCATAGTACATTTTGTTCCAGTCTCTCATTTTTATTCTTGATATGTCTTTGCTTTTAATACGTATTAAAACATTGTAAGCAAAAGATTGTGCTGTTTTGTTTTTTTATTCAATCTGTCACTTATTTTGTCGGACTATTTAATCTATTTACATTTAGTTATGAGTTAGTTTTATATTTTCCTTAATTGGTGATTCCCTGCCCACTATTACTGTATCTTAAGAAGCTCTATCTGCAATGCTCACTTTGCTTCCAGCTCAATCTCGGGTCTGTTTCACTTCCTCTCATCAGCTTTCTTGTTCCCTTTTTTAAGAGAGTACTTTAATCTTATTATTAATTTCCTTAATCTGCTTTAAATCAACCCCATTTCCAGAAACCCTTTTGCCCTCACGATCAACCCTCACCACCTCTCTGTCAACTCTCCCTTAGTTTTGCCCCAATTAACTTATCAGTTCCTTTTTTCTTCTGTTTTGTTATCGAATTCTTTTTTTTTTTCCCCTGGTAGTTAAATGATTCATTCAAACCCTCCCCACTTCTCCTTCCCTCCAATTTCTTTTTCTATGTCCTCATCTTAACAAAAAAAAAGATTTCTTTACCGTGACCTCTTTATTAATTTTCTTCCTTTTTTATTATTTAATTCATAGTCTTTATGTTATTTATAACTTCTTTAATCTCTTTGTTTCATATAGAATTTGACCTTCTAAAGTACCAAGTCTGAATTCTCTTTTCTAACCTTTTTCTTTTTAAAAATTATTTATTTTTAGTTTTCGACATTCACTTCCACAAAATTTTGAATTCCAAATTTTCTCCCCATCTCATCCCTTCCCCCACCCAAAATGGCAGCATTCTGAATACCCCTAATCTGTCCTCCCTTCTATCTCTACCCCCCCTTCTCTTATCCCCTTCCCCTTCAGTTTTCATGTAGGGCAGGATAGATTTCTATACCCCATTTCCTGTATTTTCCCAGTTGCGTGTGAAAACAAATTTTTTTTTAACTTTTGTTTTTAAAATTTTGGGTTCCAAATTTTCTCTTTTCCTCCCTCCCCACCCGCCCTCATTGAGAAGGCAAGCAACTTGATACAGGTTATACATGTGTAGTCTGGCAAAACACTTTGCCACGCAGTCTCCTCTCTGGGTCCATGATCTCCCATTATTCTGGAAGCCCTTCACTTCCTGGAGCTTAGATTTCCTTTCCCCTAAGGCAGGATGTTGTCCATAGAGATAGAACATTCTGTCAGAGGAAATGATGTCCCCAATCTGCCATTAGAGAATATGTATGTCTCCCCATGTAAATGTTCTTCAGTGGGACCTTTCCCCCATTGAAGCAACATCTCCCCTTTTCTTTCCCATTTTAATTTCTCCCTTTGTTACCTCACTTATTTGCCTGTACCCCCTTTTCTTCTGAGAGTTCTCTTCTTTGATGACCGTGGATTTGATTACGATATATCACACATTCTTTTCTATGCTTCACCTTCCCTCTCCTCTTATGCACTCACCCATTCTGCAGTTTAATACCACAGACTACATTCTTTGGTATGTAGTAGGGATTATGGGGTTCAGTCCATGGTT